TAAATGAGCTCTGAAAAAAACTGTTTGGCCAAAGCTGATGGAATCAGGCTACCCTGATCAGTGGAAAAGCTTTCTGTTGGTGAAAGAGTGAATCATTAACTTCACCTTCCAGTCACATATACACATCTAGTTCTAAAATTAACTCTGAATGAGGCAGGATTATTCACAGTCGTGCAATAGAGGACAGACTCAGACGCCTTTCATTCAGAAGCTGTACCTTGCATAGCTGCTAATGAAGCAGGCGGGAATGAGCGGTGAAGCCATGCACGGCACCAACAGAAAAGACAAAAAACAAACAAACACACGGTCAAGCGATCCTCCAAAACATGACAACATGTAACAATGACATGTGAACTCAAGCAGGTGATAAACAGGTGCAACACACCAGGAGCTCGTGGCGGAAAAGCTTCCGTTGAACCTGCTCCTGCTGTGGCATCCTCCTCCTCTTCCAGCTCGAGGTTCTCCTCTTCACCTGGAGCAAAGATTTTCCTGATGGCAAGGAACACAAACCCGCCCCCGCCCCCCCAAACACCTGATTCATTGGACTGATAAAGTTTACATATCCCTGTAAGGAAAATATTTAAAGCTTGGGACCCCCTTCACAGACACACTTTTTTTGGAGACCTGAAGATAAAATTATCAACGCTTATGTGTGATTACATGACTCATGTTGATCTATTAGTTATTCTTTTATTGTATTAATTCACAAAAATCTGTAAATCCAGTAATGCTGAGACACAATGACACATGCAGCACGAGCCCAAAGCAGTAATAACACCAGTGATGGATTTTTACCTTAACGGCACCGGCTGAACATCGAATGGAAACTCTTTGTTGTAGGTGAGTACATTTCTAATTACTGTTGAAGAAAAAGGAGTTAAGTTGATTATATCACTATTAAAACAAGTCAGAATATCCAGTAAATTGTCCATCAGTGTTTTTCCTTCATAGAGAAATTGTTTCCACAGGCCAGAGCAAAAGGAAAAAAGAAAAATCACCAGATCAACATTTTAAATTTGTCTTTCGTTTACTAAAGTGTAATAAACACTTGTTTGCAAAATGCCCAGAAATGCATGTAGAGTTCTGTCAAATAAGGCCACACGGTTTCAACACCTTTACTGTACACACACCAATCATGTTTTTCTGCAGAGTCGCCCCTTAGAGGCCCATTTCGAGCCAGGAAAAAACCCAGTCATACACTTACTGGTTTCCAGTTTCTTCAGGTCTTCTAAGTTGAACTCTTCCTTTGACTGAGTGCACTGAAGAAACCCAGACAAAAGATATGTTCAGTATTTGTTTTTCCTCATGAAATTATATAATTTTTTATAGCGCTGTGCAAAAGTCTTGAGCCACCCCTAATTTATTTATAATGGGAAATAGAAATGTGTGTAAACATACAGCATACAAGGCAAAAACAACTGTAACGAGCTTGAAAGTCAAGATTTATGATCACTTTTATTCATCATGAACTGACGTCTCTTAGTCGAGCTTTCTTATGGTTTCTTTAGGTACAGCTCTCCAGGCTTCTTGAATGACATTTACAGCTCTTTCTTGGAAGTTGGTCGTCTTCTGTTCAATGTGAGACGATCTCACACTTATCTCACATTAATGTTGAGGTTCAGGCTCAGGGGAGGTCAATCCATGACTGACAGTGACTCTTTGTGTGTTTCCTTATTCAGGAATACTTTTCCTGCATTGGCAGTGTGTTTGGGCAGAAAAACAAAGCCATTATCAAACACTTTCTGGACGGACCAGAATCTGATTGTACTTGTCTGTGTTCTTATTCCATCGATTTTAACAAGATCCCTAACACACACTGGCAGAAACGCAGCCCCAAATCATTACAAGGTTTTACAGATGGGTGTAGACACCCACCGCTACACCTCTCTCCTGACCCCTTCTATACTTACCGATGATGATTTGAACCAAAAATGTCAAACTTGGATTCATCGCTCCATAAAACCTTTTGGCACTGATTTCGAGTCCAGTTCTTGTTTAATTTGGCATCCCTCAGCCTTTTCTCCCCGTTTCCTTTCCTTAAGAACGCCTTCCTGACAGCCACCCTTCCACTGAGACCGTTTCTGATGAGGCTTTGTTGAACAGTACATGGCTCAGCTGAAGGGTCAGATGGATCTCTCAGGTCCGCATGTCAGGTTTTTGATGGATTTTTTCCAGTTTCTTAAGGCTTTGAAGTACTGTTTTGTATTTTAGGCCTCTCACTTCTTTTCTTCTATACTTGACACTTTTCCTTATCTTATTTTTAAGGACACCTTTTCAGTTAATAGCTCTTTGGGAATCACTTAGTCCAACAAACACAATTTTATGCCTTTTAAAACTCAAAGTGTCTAAAGATAACATTTTAAATCATTTATTTGCTAAGTTGCCTGTTATGTGTAGATACAAGACCGTTTTACCCCTCGAATTAGGTGCCTTTTTATGCTTGAATGAGTCACAGGTTGGTGTTAAGTGACTTAACAAGGAAAAACTTCCCTTTGGAAATGGTCAGGTACAAGGAGTGGACCTGACCACTGGCCAATGTCCAAAGACAAACTTTGAAAGACCTTCAGAAAGCCTGGAGAACTATTGCTCAAGACCACTTTCAAAAGTGTTATATGCATAGGTAAAACTGCTGATGCTCAAATTTTACTTTTATATAATAACGATGACCTCAGCATCTCTGAAAACCTGGATATGGCCTCCTTTTTGTTGCTACTAATCATGCAGACTCCTATACAAACCTGCAAACTGGCACTTCTCATCTCCAGACATGTTGCAATCTTTGCCAGAGTTTTCTTTAAAAGAAAAAAAAACACTCGTTAGTTTAAGTAAAGTGACAGACACTCCGGTGCAGAAGCTGCAGGCGGATGTAATGATTACCTTCTGCTCTTCGGTGAAGTCTGATGAATTTGTTGACTGGACTTCTTTTTGCAGTTGTCTTGCCAAACTAAACGAACCCACATGAAACACAGTTAGACGCGTTAATGATTCACTGCAAGACCCTGCAAGACTCCTATAAGGTAAGGTGTGTGTCTGTGCGCCCCCCTGCGGACAGTAGAAGCCGCTGCAGGGATCTAGATTTTTGCATTGTTAGTGCAGTTTTAAATAAACTATTAACTGGGAGAGAAGCTGGGCGCATTTTAAGGAAATTGCCAAGACAAAGATCTGGTCTGAGAAGCAGAAACCATTCCTCACTCAGCAGATGAAACCCACCCATAACAATGAGAGGGTGTGGCTGACTGTTTCCCAACACTCTGAGGAATACTGGCCCCTTTCTGCATTGCATGACACATAATGAAACAGACTGCTCGCAGCTCCGACCGATTTTCCATGACAGGCTACATGGACGGACTCTCCCTTAAACTCTAAAGTGCTGCTGTGGATGCATCAGGCAACACATCTGCTCCCCACTGCAACAACTGCCACATCACGTCATGGATGGTAGGGTTTATTTACTGCTGCGAGAGCTGACTGACAGCACACGGGCTAACTTCTTGCACCTACTGTCTCCTACATGTTTCCCTGCAGATTTTAGGGACAGGCGACCCAGAGAAGGGAAAAATAATAATAAAAAGAAGAAGAAGAAGAAGAAGCACAGCGCCCGGACTGCGTTCGGGTTAAACCGGCGCTGTGGACACACAGGACACACATGTTGAATGCAACTTACATTTGGTACTCATCTATAGCCTCCACTAATTGTCCCCACGAGTCAAAGTCTGTGCCTTTCTTAAAACTGGCGTGCCATTTCTGAATAGTCTTGTTGACATCAGACATGTTGGCGGGGCGGATACTCGCGGCGCTCTCAGGGCAGCATAGCCGAGGAGGAGATTCATCTACGGGGCTTCAGCGGCAGCGGACTCGTCGGCCAGGTCATCTGCTGTCCAGAGGCGCGCGGATAGACCGGTGACACTCCGACCAAGCCCTTTCTGCCTGCTCACCCTAATATCAGCGCATCCGCAGGAGAAAGGAAGTCCCGCCTGGAGCTCGGGGTGCGCGCGTTTCGGGACTCGGGGTCGCCCGAATGGACGAAGAGCACCGCGGCGCGTTTGAGGTTTGAGTGCTGCGGGGAGAAAGAAGAGCTATTTTATTTAAAGGTGCAGGGATTTTTTTTTTCACCAGCAACAGTTATGAAGCAGGACTACAGTTAAAATACTGCAAAGTAACAGTGTTCATGTTTGGTTGCTTTTTTTTTTAATGTATTCTCCACTTTTTCTTTTCTTTTTTTTTCTTTTATTTTTAGGTATAAGCATCTTTCAGTACACTGTTTTGAATTTTAAAAAACAGTAAACACAAGCTCCAACGAAAAACCCCCCAAATAATATTTATAATAAAATACAGTATGATTGTGACTGTGTAATATCAGTTTTATTTATATAGCACCATTCCTTACACTTATACTCAACGTGCTTACCAAAAGAGATCAAAACAAAATAAATTATAGACGTCTACAGTGTCTTAAGGCAATACAAAATGCAAGCTAACAAACACAAACGTATTATATGTAGGAATAATTAAAAGGTTTCAAGTTAAACATGTGTTATTACAACACTAACAAGGTCCACATGATTACTTTTTATTATAAAATTTAAAGTGTTATTTATTTGTTTGTTTGTTTGTTTGTTTGTTTGTTTGTTTATTTATTTGTCTTCATGGTTGCTCAGTCATGCAGGCAATGAAATCCCAGACCTTATTAGCAACTCTGTAAACAGTATATTCGCATTATGTGAATACACAGTTTAGAATGAAACCTGCAGTCAGCTAAGACTGAAGTTACTTGAATGAGTGACGAAACGTTTCCCGCACGTAAAACTCTACGTCTTGTTTTGTCCCTACTGTAATATGTTCATGGACACCGTAATATTTCTACTTTGGGTCTGCAAAAGCTGAATAAATTTTGAATTAATAAAAAAAAAACTAAATGACTGATTCATGGGCTGTCCAAAGATAAGCGTTGAAGCACATCTGTGGCCTTTATTTCGAAAGAAATCGAAATGTCTTCCGGTTTCTCCCAGTATGTCGGGATGTGGCGGAGGAACTGAAACAGCGCAGCTAGTGGTGTCCTTTCGGACGACTTGGCCGCTGACAGAATGAGATAAGATGGATAAAGAGACGGCGGCGGATTGCTGTGCGGCTGAAGACGATGAATATCCGAACTCGGAGGTTTTTTGTCTAATGAGAGTCGGGAGGAACTCAGACTGGCTTCGCTTGTTCGAAAACACAGAGGTGCAGCTTGCTAATGTTAGCTAACGTGCTATATTTATACTAACATGAAGCTTGCTAAAGTTCGCGGCAGATTCCAGTTTACATGTTGGGTGAACATTACCCCCAATTTATGGTTAATAATTTAGAAGTGAATTAAGCTGAAGAGTGTCCCTGTCCGTTTTTATAAAACCGGAGAGATGCAGACTGGAGCTAACTAACATGTTTATTTTTGGCTGTGCAGATCACCATTGGACGTGGTGTGGATGTAACCTACCAACTACTGTCTCCCACCTGTCCCCTGATGATCTCCAGACTGCACTGCACTTTCAGGCAAAGTGAAGACGGCCACTGGACAGTGACAGACAAGAAGGTGACAACGAGCTTTATTGTGAAATATATTTTACAGCTGTGCTTGAGGTCTTTGGTACAAGTCCTGTGCAGGGATGGGCAGGACTTTCTCTAAGGGAGGCATGCTGACGTGGATAAAGTAAATAGAGCCACACGAAATTAAAACATGATGCGTATATTACTAAATTATGCCAAACCCCATTAGTTTGCGAATATCTAAAAGCTAAGAATGGGTTCATGTTTTAAAATCCACCAGTATTATGTTGGCATTTGGTGAAGTTTTGAGTCAGTCTGGTTTACTGTGACATAAAGCCATAAATACACTTGAGCATCATTGTCATTGTCAACTTTTTTATGTATTTATGTGTTCATCACAAAAAAAGGATGTCAGGGAATGCCAACTTTGCCCATTTGTGTTGTAGGAAGTTTATGTTATTCTGTATATCTTTTCGTGGTATTTATTTGTCACGCACATCTTTTATAATAACGGCAAAATAAGTATTGCAACAAGTCAAACTGTGCAACAGATACCACAAATTATACATAGACAAATAGCAAAAGTTTCAAACCCTTATAACTCTAGCAACATAAGATGAAAGGTTAACATCAATACCATACTAATCATATACTGTTTTATGTTCTGAGGTACACTAAAATGCAGAAGGCCAAAGGTTCAGGACCTTCAACTGCAACATCAAATCACATTAGATGTTAGGCAATGAAAATGTGAAATAGATTTAGTTAAAGCGCCAATATTTTATCATTACTATTTAATGAACATTTCCCCAAAGATTGTTAAGACAGTGTGCATCCTTATGCAAACTTTCCATGCTATGGTATTTTACTTGTAGTGTAAATTACTTCATCTGCAGTTTTGCCTTTTTCTTCCTTACTCAGTGAATGAAATCTAGTCTGTTTTGGCCTTTAACAAGTGTGTTAAAGTTCACTGTCAGCACTAAGGTGGGATTTGATAAACTTCATTATAAGAATGGCTGTTTACGATAAAGTTAGATTCAACGAGGACCAACATCTTCTGTGCATGCCTCCTTATGTGTTGAAAGTTCTCCTTTTTGAGAGAAGAATTCAAATCCAGCGGTGATACTGACTCGAAGTTAAGATAAGATAAGATAAAACTTTATTAATCCCTCGGGTGGGTTCCTCTGGGAAATTCGGTTTCCAAAAAAGCACAGCACCGACAGAAGTTACAAGTTACAGAATATTATATATACACATATATATATA